CCTAAATTTTATCTACCGCTACGCCTCGCACTCTTAAGGTTGCTAAGCTTTATTGATAGCCCGTTATCAACCGAGCAGCAGCAAGCAACTTCCGAACCTATATTGACCCTACATCCCTTGTCTTCCACCTACGCGTTCAACATGCCCATTGTCACAGCAGCAACTGCTCTCCGGCGGTCTCTTGAGGACCTCAAGTCATTCATCGTCGCACCGGGTGTTTACGATGGTCTCTCCGCTCGGATCGCCTTGTCTGTGGGATTCGATGCACTGTACATGGTGAGTGCTCAGCCTACAATTGTACTGTCATGGTCACTGAGCGTTGCCATTGCAGACTGGCGCCGGTACTGCAGCTTCGGTCCACGGCCAAGCCGATCTCGGGATCTGCACCTTGAACGACATGCGTGCCAATGCTGAGATGCTCGCCAACATCTCGCCCTCCACTCCCGTCATCGCCGACGCAGATACCGGTTACGGTGGCCCAATCATGGTCGCTCGCACGACAGAGCAATACTCGCGCTCGGGAGTCGCCGCCTTCCACATCGAGGACCAGGTGCAGACCAAGCGCTGTGGACATCTCGCAGGCAAGATACTGGTAGACAAGGAGACGTACGTGAGTCGCATCCGGGCAGCGGTGCAGGCGCGGAAGCGCATGGGCAGTGACATCGTCGTGATCGCGCGAACCGACGCGCTCCAAGGCCATGGGTATGAGGAGAGTGTGGCACGGCTGCGGGCGGCGCGGGATGCGGGTGCAGATGTCGGCTTCCTCGAGGGGATCACGTCCAAGGAGATGGCGCGGCAGGTCGTTCAGGATCTGGCGCCGTGGCCCATGCTGCTGAACATGGTCGAGCATGGGGCGACACCGTCGATCTCGGCGGATGAAGCCAAGGAGATGGGGTTCCGTATCATCATCTTCCCCTTTGCGGCAATTGGGCCTGCTCTGACCGCTATCCGTGAGGGTATGGAGAAGCTTAAGAGGGACGGTTTGCCGGGGTTGAGCAAGGAGTTGACGCCGCAAATGCTGTTCCGCACATGTGGTTTGGACGAGAGTCTCAAGGTAGACGCAGAGGCAGGAGGAGCAGCGTTCCAGGGCGGAGTGGACCTAGAGGATAAGGAGTAGACTTATGGCAATAATGGATGAATGCAAATGACGTTGCTGTTAATCACCTGCTATCGTAACCGCCGGTGCAGTAGTGGAAACTCCAAGTCACATGACTATTCCCATCTACAGAGTAGTTCTTTGTAGTCCGTTTTTTCGCCATGTCAGCTCCGAACGATTGTCAAATTGATGACGAGTCCTCACTTGCAAGGAGACGAGTTCCAAAAGGAAATTGCATGTTCTAAGTCTCCCGGAAGGACCCCGCTGCCGAGAGTTGGACTTTGATGAAAAAATTTCCTACCTTGACAACGTGTGACGCCAACCTTGGAAATGACTGCCACAGCCGTGTTCGTGGTAGAGAATTCTCTGGTTCCGCCCGTCAACCATGGCCAGTTTGTCCACGGATACCGTGTTTATTTACTAAGTAGCATAGTTCTAAGCGCCCAATCGGCGGCAGGCGTTCGCCAATTGTGGTGCTGGAAGGGCTAGCGCACACAATCATAAATTCATGGTTTGTTGAATTGAAAATGAAACTGCTGACATAGGCTGCATTGGTCACAGCAGATATATCGCTGGCATGCCATCATTACAAGTCAGTGAGAGATTTGTTCTGTACTGCTCGTCTGAGTTTGGACAAGTCAACGACTTGGGTACCTGACTGCCCTGTTGTACTACTACAATGATGGATGTGGTAATTCAACAGTGGACAGTGGACAGTGGACAGTGGACACGGCGGTGGAGATGGATACATCTACATTCCCTGTCGATTTGTCGCATACAATCAATTGCCATTCTAGATTCTAGCGGTGGGTAAAGATGTAGATGAATTTGCTGTTTCTGCTTTGTATCGACCCACATATGAGGGTCTGCAGTCCATGGAGTACTCTACTGGATCGAAGCGCAGGCTGGCTAGATGGGTCTTCAGAGTTCAAAATCCAATCTTCACTCGTTCCTGGATTGATTTAACGAAGTGAAGAAGAGTTTTCAACCGTATAATCATGGAAGGGTATGCCTCTTGAGTGAACATTCTACTACAAGGGACTCTGCCCAAGGCATTTTGGCATTGCGGAGGATAAGTAAAGAGCATCTTGGCCTAGATCAGCGGACAAGTTTCTCTAGAGTGTACCACTTGCTGGAATTGACTGACGTGTACCTCTCTAGATCGATTTTGATTGAACAGGGCGGATCCGTTATCATTATTGTTCCTCCAGCGCATCCAGGCTGTCAGGTGCTAGGAACGTGGCCCGCATTCCAACCATCTAATCTTCGACAATGATATCAGATCCCGATGAAGAATGTATCGCTGCCATACCTCAATTGATCTATCACTATTGACATATTGATCAGTTGAGTGCTGTTTACAGCCATCAGATATGATCATCAAATGCACGATGCAGGTACCTGAGTAACGGTGGGACTACACGAGAGACTAGATACCTTACCTACTAGGTTCATTACAATACCGTACCATAAAAAGGGCCAGCAACCCGCGTCCCTGTGCCAGGGACCCAAGGGTCTCGACTGTTGTCCTATGTGGATACAAACCTATAGACACAACCAATCATTATTCTTCCTGAAGCTGAGAGTTGGCAGGCTCAGGAACCGTCGCTCTTAGCCGACCAATCAGCAGCGAGCATGGCTCCTTTTTCCCCTGATCGCCCCTTTTTCATTAAACGACTTGATTTCGGGTGCAGAACGGGAAGTACGTACAGACCCTCCCTCAGTCCCTGCCGCTCTTCTTATTACACCCCCCAGTCCCCTCTTCGTCTCGCTCGTTCCTCTCTCGCTCTCTTCTTCCTCCAGCGTCTGTTTTCTCTCCCTTCTTTGGGTACGCAAATCACACTCCTTTCAAGTCTTATTCACTCTCTATCAAGTGAGCATTGCCTCGTGTCTTGCTCCTAGTCATTCTTTCATTGTCAATAAGACGCTGGTACTGTTGTTGCGTTCCCTGGGCTAGTTCTCTCCAGCAGCGTGATACCCTTTGCTTCTACCAAACTCTCATCCGAACATTTTTGAACCGATCTTGAAATCACACAAGTCCATCCTTTCTTCACAATGCAGCTCAAGAACTCGATGCTCCTCCTCACGGCGCTGACCGCTGGCTCTTCGGTCGCCCGTTTGCACGGCCATGAGCGCCGCCACCTCCACCATGCCGGTGAGAAGCGCGAGGTCGGCGACACTGTCTACGCTACTATGAACGGTGTTCTCGTCTCTTGGATCAACGAGTGGTCCGGTGAGGCTAAGACCTCCGACGCTCCCGCCCCTCAGGCTACTCCCGCCAGCAACGCTGCTGCCAACGCTGTGGCTGCCGCCGCCGCCGCTTTTACTTCGGAGCCCAGCTCTTCCAATTCCGACAGCTCTTCATCGTCCGGCGTCCCCGCCGACTGGACCAACACCCCTGCCGAAGGCGAGTACTGCACCGACGGCTTCGGTGGCAGGACCGAGCCTAGCGGCTCCGGTATCTTCTACAAGGGCAACGTCGGTAACCCCTGGGGCAGCAACATCATCGAGGTTTCCCCCGAGAACGCCAAGAAGTACAAGCACGTCGCTCAGTTTGTTGGCAGCGACACTGACCCCTGGACCGTCGTCTTCTGGAACAAGATCGGCCCCGATGGTGGCCTTACAGGCTGGTACGGTAACTCCGCTCTGACCCTCCACCTCAAGGCCGGTGAGACCAAGTACGTGGCATTCGACGAGAACTCCCAGGGTGGCTGGGGCGCCGCCAAGGGCGACGAGCTGCCCATGGACCAGTATGGTGGATACTCTTGCACCTGGGGTGAGTTCGACTTTGACAGCAAAATCAACAATGGCTGGTCCGGCTGGGACGTTTCCGCCATTCAGGCCGAGAACGCCCGCCATGAGGTCCAGGGTATGAAGATCTGCAACCACGCCGGCGAGCTCTGCTCCATCATCACCCACGGTCTTTCCAAGGTCATTGACGCCTACACCGCTGCTCTGGCCGCTGTCGATGGCATTGGTGGCAAGGTCGTCCCTGGCCCTACCCGTCTGGTCGTCAACCTCGACTACAAGGAGTAAATGTCTTTTTTGCTCGTAGTTTTGTGATATCCTTTCTCTTTGGCTTGCATTCTGGATACCAATTATATCTCTTGTCTTGGGGGTCTTTTTCCTCGTCCTCTTAGCATGTAACGGTCTCACGACCTTTGTGACATTCCAATCCTTCCGCCAATGTCAGGCGAGACCTCCAGGAAGCATCCAATATCCCGCCAACCCCTGACGATTTCAGCTTTCTCTGTGTACATACCTTATACCACCGTCGACTTGTGTTTCATAGTTCATATTGATTCCCTTCATTCACATCTGGTACACACCACCTCATTATGTCTGTAGCTATTGTAATTTACTTGGTATATATTCTGCATTCCTTTAATCTGTCGCACGCTTGCATCTTAGGAGTCACTGGCCAGCCTCTTTTTCCCTTCGATACCTAGCCAATTGGGAACGTTGGCCTCTGTCCAGCTCTCTGATTAAATGCCGAATCTCAGTTTACACCCAGAAATAGTATCTTCACTCCAGAGCCCCAACTCTACCAATTATTGGTCGCTTGGGGTCTAGTCTAGGCCTCTACCTACGGAGCTGGTTTTCCGACCCGACAAGCTGATACCTGAAACTCACTAAAGCGCCAGGGTCTAAAAATACTCGCCTACCGAGTTGGCAGACTAGATCCTATCTTTAGCAATCAGCTGAGTGTATGCAGGTGACAATACCCCTGTCCATAAGATCGCCGAGTAGGTGAAAGACGAAGACAATGCTCTAGCTTGAACACAGCGTTACGAGGAGGGATCGCCTTTTTGGAACAATCGAGTAGGATGTAGATGCTCTATTCCCAACTAAACGGAGGTATCTAATAATACATACAGCATGTAGCGGTTACACGGCGATTGATTCAAATTCCCAGAAACTCGGTGGCAGAGACCGATGTGGGCAGCTCAGGGAGCGCGAATTCCGAACCTCCCTCCTCTTCTCCCTCTTGCCCTTCCTCCTCCCATTGCCCCTCTTCGCCCCCGAAACTGATTTCGATAAATCCCACATGCACCATGTATCCGATCAGCGCGGCGACGCCGCCCGCTACAGCCGCGATGGAGACAAGCATGTCTTTCTTCTGCCCGGAGGCGTACTCGGACAAGGCGCGGCTCTCTATCCCCGACAACCCCGAGTCAGGCGACTGCGCCGCCTGTCGTAAGCGCTCGCTCGAGCGGATGTCTTTGAGGATCGGGGTTGCGTCGGCGAGGGTGTTGAGGAGCGTGCTGCAGACGGTGGCGAGATTGGCGCGCTGCGCAGGCTGCCAGGGCAACGGCGTGGCATCTGTGACGGATCTCCGTGCCTCATCAAAGGCATGCGCGACCTCGACGCCAACGGTGCCGTAGCAGCGCTGGCGCAGGCGCTCGGTGTATGTCGAGATACGTGGGGCTTTAGTTTGCATCGCGTTGCGGAGGAACGAGTACGGTAGGTCCGGGACAAGGATGAGTGCCAGGTAGCCGAGCGCCAGACAGTCGACGCTTGTTGCGTCGCCGTCGGAGACAAGGTAGGTTTTCTGGCCTAGAATCTCCTCGAGGGGCTCGAATAGCTCCGCCGTGAGGGCTTCCAGCTTGAATTGGTTTTGCTGGGGGGTCTTTCCCAGGAGACTTGAGACTGTGTCGCGTGGCCGTTGAACGAGGTTCTTGGGTATCTGGCCTGCAGCGACGGCGGCCGAGTGTTCCCGTTTCCGTTGGTCTTCCGCCGCCTGGAGGTCTAGCGATGAGAGACCCAGGTGTTCTGTACGGCTCTTTGCGGCCGAGCGCAGCCTCGGAGGGATGATCCATTGATTCGGCCACTGCAGAATGGCGCCGTAGGCGGGTGAGGTCCGGTTGTAGTAGTTTTCGCTGGAGACATAGAGAGACAGGTCGAGGAGAGGCTGGCCGCGGGATTCTACAAAGGACGAAAACCTGCACGCTGTTAGTCTTTGAACGGCACCGTGTTTCGAAGCGTCTGAGAAGGCTTACGCGATATTGTCCGCCCGGTCAATGCCACTCAGGTCCCTGTCCAAATCCCATGCCCCGTTCGAGTATTGACGCAGGTAGTCAACGATATTCCGAAACCGGCTCACCCATGTCGTTCCATTCTTCACAGCAGGTAATTCATCTGCGGGCAAGTCAGTATATACGATCCCGAATAGACGCAATACTGCCATCGGCTCAACATACTAGTCGGAGACACGGAAGGATCGCTGCTCGCAATCAGCACCCACGCGTCCTTGGGCACTGCAAGGGAGAAATAAGCAATGGCCGCAAGACATTGCGCCTCAATCGAGGGCAATGAAAAGGCCGGACCCCAGACATGAAGTTCCAGAACCATCGTGCGTGTCGGGGAAGCAGGCGCCTATGAAACATGAGTGACGGCGAGTTGGAGCTGGGTAGAATCACGTGCGGGGGAGAAATATATTGATGCCTCAGGCATAAGATCAACATCTCACAGGCTCGGTACATCGTTCCGTCTTGGATTGGGAATGGCCTCGATGCAGCCGGATTTCAAGCCAGCAGAAGCCGTAAATCCGTATTCGATGTGAGGTAATGTCTCAATTACATGCATTTTTGCATTCTATCTCACCCCGCTATTGTTGTGCTGTCTCACGTATACGATGTTTACTGATCGATAATGCGAGCGCTTTCTATCTGACACGATGACACGACGCCCGGTCTCCGCTGAGCCTCATTAGCAGTTTCAGGCTAAACGGCGAAAGCAAGATAAGGTGGTGTCTTGATGATTCGTCGGAGATATCGCGACATGGACGCAGAAATGGGCATGTCCACCTATTATCATCAAGGCAAGGCCGTTGAACGGACTTGTTCCGTGCCGGATAGGTAGATAATGAAACGGCTTTTGCGCATGTGCCTAATCGTTTGGGCGAGAGTGACATGACTATGGAGAACGGCGTACAAGCTATCTACGTAACCCAAAGCCGGCGAGTACAGCGGTAATGGATAACTACCTAATAATGATTATTCTGCCGTCAGCAACCATCTATGAAACAGTTGATGTAAGCATCTCCGCAGTGCCAGTTGTGTCAGTTGACCAACCACTGGCAACGTTCAGCCCAACCAGGTACCATGTTCCACCTCTCAAATCAAGGCAAGACACCACTAAAACAAGGCACGGGCTATCACCTGCTTCGGAGATTCGACGGGAGCTGTTTCCGAACCACGCTGACCCAACGCTGACCACTAAGGGTAGATACCTCAGGGACTTAAGTCAGTTCAGTCTCAGCTGGTGCGGGAGGACATGACCCAATAAGGATTAACTGGCGTTAATGATTCATCAATGCGTCAGTTTGTCATTTGTATGACTACGGGATAATATGTCGCACATATGCAGCTAACATGGAGTATGCTGAGTTGCAGGAAATCTAGGAACACTTGTAGAGTTGAAGATTGGCGGGGTGGGGACACGGTGCCTGTCGAGTTGTGTACTTGGCATCGCCACGGCCCAGGGAATTGCTTGTGAGGCTTTGGAGGCTGCAGGTAATCTGTGCACAAGAGGGACAGCCAGGCTCGTAATCGAGGCGATTCTGGTCTCGTGTTGGTGCCTTTCCATAGTTAGTATTGCGCCACTATGGCACTGTGTCAAATAGGAGGTCCTCAACCTTATATATGGTTCCGTGCACCTTGGAAAGACGCCCCTCCCCCCGGGCAAGTCCGTGAGGTATATCCGGGCAATGGTGGTAAGAATAGCAGGCACTCAAGGTCGACATGCGATAATGGAGGGTGAAATTGTTACTCCTGCGCCATTGGTTACCTGGAGGAGTCGAGTCATCAATCAGCCGTTGCCTTGCCTTGTGATTCAATAAAATGCATAGGAGCGGTATGTATTGACAGGGATCAGGGCCACTATTGAAGTCAGCCATCCAAGTTCGACGTCTCTTGGTGCATTGTGTATCTCTTTGTCTGGGCCAATCACTAATCGTCTTAGTGAAACTTACAATTGCACAACGCGGAGTCGATGTTGTCATTATGAGACATAAACAGCAAGTTCTACGAGGTAGCACAGTCATAAGATAATCTGGTGGAAACGAAGTCACTTGACGAGTTTGCGTCGTTATTAACTGTATCCAAACGCTGGTAACAATGCGATGTGGGTATATTAGGTCTATAGTACATGCCATTGGGCTCAAAGAAACAGAAAAGAAAAAAGAAAAGTCAGGCTCCCACGCGTAGGATAAAGCATCTGAATAGAATCAAGAAGAGAATGAAAAAGAATGAAACAAAGTCTCCCAGAATTAAAATGGAAGTTCAAGTTGAAGAGGTTCACTCGAACATGGGTAGCCCTGACTGCAAAGACGCTTTGACACCGCCCGGGCGATCAGGAGATCCAAGCCTCCACACTTCAGCATGGATTTGGCGGAAATCCCGGAGCTTGGGTGCAGAGTTCAGGCACCCCTTTAGATTGAGACAATTCCAAGTTCTTGACCATGTCGCCAGCTTGCTTTGCGGGGTTTGGCCTTGCCGACAATGCCGCTGGGAATTCGAAGTGGGGTCCATCATTTCAACACCATGTTGATATCATCTTCATGTAAGATGCCGGGCGGTGTGCGCTGATCAATTAGCTACCCGCGCAATCCGATGAAATCCGGATTGATTCGAATGTCGCAATTGAGATCGAATAAATGTGGTAGAATAGGAAACAATGCGCCTGCGCATGTCTCCAGAAAGAAATAGTGTAGAAGAAATAAAGTCAAATTTTCCGCAACTGTGGTTGCGGCAGAGCCGAGGCCGAGAAGGTCGGAGGTTCTCCGTGGATTAGAATGGTTGGATATTGGTCCAAAGTATGAGTAGGGTTGGTCGAAATAGGAGCATATCGTCCGAAGAAGTGTATTAGAGCCAAAACCGAGTTGAAGTCGTGATATCCATGCCAGAGGTTGCAACCTCCCAGATCATGAGCGTCTCGAGTCGGTGTTGTAGTAATCGTTCCCCGACGGGAATTGAAGGCCGTGGAGGAGCCGCTCGAAGGCGCAAGGTCATCAAATTCGTTAAAGGGCCCCAATATCGTTTATTTGGGAAGAGGAGGCAGAGGACCCTTTGGCGGAGGGCCAGGGCAGGGAGGGAATTGAGAAGCGGTACCACCGATGGAAGGCATGTTGATGAGTTGGTTACGGTTGTTGATGGGCTTGGATATTGATCGATCAGCGTGAGAGGCTCGACAGTGAGGCGTCTCTGGTATTAGATAGAAGACCGCACGAGTATTTATGCTTTGAGGCCTTTGAAGTTTGGAGATGGAAAGAAGGTAAATTTTGAAGACGAGGTCAGGCACTGCTTAATATAGGGCTCGCAATCAGTGATCCTCGCTTTAATTTTCATTTGGGATTTATTTTAATTTTAATTCGGGAGGGCATCAACAAGAAAAAAAGCTACCATAAATCAATTAGAACCAAGCTGAGAGAAAAATAAAAAGGAAAAAAATAAAAATAAAAATAAAGGATTAAATAAAATAATCGAACATAAAGGACATCCCTGCCATGAAGAGGAACTGAGCCCCACATGGAACGGTCAGATACTGACGTAGGTACGGAATAGTTCGTTTTCTGACGGTGGTTACACTACGGAGTCGAGGGACTCGTCGTCCAGCTTTGCCATTATTTTGCCATATGGTAATGACTTTATTGTGGGTCACTTGCCCCAATCGGAAATTCAAAGGAAATTTTCTAGAAGCTCCTCCCGACCGGGCCCACTGCTTCATCCTCTGGGGATTTGCTTCACCGCCAATTTTTACCCCTTTCCAGTCCACGTCCCACTACACTGTGCGACTGGTCCATCAAAAGGTAATAAAGTCATTAACTAAAAAGGGTAGAAGATTGGTTGTTTGAGGAGTGGGAGACAACAGTGGCAAATTGGACGATCCATGCTCCAGTGTTTGTCTCTTTGTATGTTACTCTGGCTTATTTTTCTTTTCCCTGTTCCTGAACTTCTTTGTCTACCTATTTCCGAAATTCCGCCCCATGGCTCGGCGTATCTGGTCTTACAGAACACCATGGAAATTCAGCTATGCATCTTTTTCTCAACATCATTACCCATTATTACGTAAGTACAGGCAAGGAACGCACGGGAAGTTGGGGGAGGCTGGACAGTAGGCAGCAGAATCAACATGGAATGGGATGAGCATTCTTCAGCAGAATGACTCAACTCATAACGCATTGGTGCTATCAATAGTCCGATGTTCATGCATTCATCAATATGCAACTTGTATCGACAGGTGTTCCGGGCACATTGCAGCAAATCATAATAGGCTCACAGACCTGGAGGAGGCAGACACGTGGAAGGTTGCAGATCTTTAGGAAGGGAATAGAATCCTGATGGTAGTTCAATCCAATCATCCAAACGCCTTCCAAGACCATTCCTCGCAAGGCTGGCCCTCAAAATAGTAAAGCCTGGCGGTAGTGTCTCCAGGCAGCCAGGTTGATTTGTCTATCGGACCATCAGGAAGATGGAATCTGACGATCAAATCTATCTGTCATCATGGAGTCATAGAGTCATAGACTCATAGCCGGAACCCCCCAAGTCCAAAACCCCGGGATTGGAGTTGAACTGAGCCACCACCACCAAACCATCCATTTCAGGCCTTCAACATTTCCGGTTTGTCTTAACTTGACCATGTCTGGCATGATCGTTGAGAAGATCAGTGTCACCTCTAATCCCTTGCAAGGATGATCAGGGGTACTACCCGTTCTATTGAAGTAAATCTGGAGATTCGACAGGTCAACTGTCTCAAACTTTAGCATCCAGGGGAGAGATGTACTCCGTATTCCGTAAAGATACGACAATATTACAAAATACCATGGAGACCGTCATGTTGCACATCCGCTGTATGCATGAGACAAGTTGTTTCAGCTTTCAGGGGCCGAAGCACACCATCGGCCAACAAGATCTGATTCCCCTTGCAGATGATCAATTTGGGCTCAAGAATCCATCTAGACGGGTGATACTCCTTTGACATGTTTCGCATACTCCAGGTTAATTAAGTGTTATATCAAGCTGCTAATAATCAAACTATTAATGATTACCCTTCAGTAGGTCATGAATCATGATCCGCTGGTGATATTTATGTTGGGTCCTGATTTCCGTCGCTGTGGCTGATGTCCCGAGGCCGACGGCTCCGACAGTGACCAAGGAAATAATGTTTCTCTTCGCTTCTGCAACGCTTCACTACTAATCAATGAAAGAGCGCATCAGCTGCCACTTTCTTGAGTCTATGCGATTCCATCCTCAGACGCAACAAGCTGTTCCCTGCTGCGAGAGGCCAAGAGCATCCAATGAGTGCTATATTCGATATTAAATCCTGCAGTCTGTACAGAGCGTACGCCCCTCGAACTATATTTGTGGCACCACAATGCAACATTACAAGGTCATCGAGATACCTAATCTGTGTAGTCGCAAGACATCTCAAGGGTAAAGCCAAGGCACTTTTAATTAATGCTACTATCATCCCTGTTAGTGCCTTCTCTGCAAGACGGGCAGGAGGATCTTCTGCAGCTTGTAGGTAACTAGCAAGATGCACAAGAGATTAGACCATCCTGCAAATCACTACTATTGCGCCTCTGCATCAGCTCGCTTAGGCAATTCGTTGATTTGTTCTCAGTATGGAGTAGATATTGAGATGCTGCAAATGTCCATACGCTTCTGATGGACGACCAATGGGTCTATATAGTAGATCCATCGATATTTGCGCAGTTGATTCTATATGAAACAATCATACTTGGTTTGATGGTTCTACCGCATGTATCTCCCATTTCGTCAATCAGGAACGGAGGGTAGTATTGTCTAATAATTATTTCCCCTTTTCGGAAGTTCGTCTCACTCCGAAATACCTCGCTTGCTCAGCCATTAATAACGATTCCTATAGCTTGGAATCTATTGAAGTAAATGTCTCCGGAACATTCGAGCTCAATCTGTTCAAAGTCATGCTTAATCGCATCAAATCGGAGTCCACTTTCGGATCCTGCGCTGTGGCTGAGTCTCAGCGTGATAGTCTCCAGTGGATCCTTTAAATCCTTAGACTACTCTGTAACACGCCAATATTACTCCGTAAAGAGGGAGGAGGAAATGGAAAGGTAAATCCGAACACCTCGATCGACTCCTAAGTCCTTTGAAGCGGAAAGTTTGGAACATGGGAAAGAATCAGGGACCGAGCACATGGCAGATTACAAACTTCCGTCTTCAAGATTGGACTAAGACCTCCACTGTTGGGGGGTTCATTCCACGCCGTTGGGAGTTAGATAGACACTTAGCATTTTAGTCTGCTTGTAATAGGCCGGAGTTTTAAATGGTCTTCGGCCGGGGAAATTAGCTGCGAAGACGCACATTTTCATACGGATTACACTATCATCGTTATGCAGGTGTTTCTTTAATATCTCGGCTACGTTTACCAACAGCAAGGGCTATCAGATAACTACGGCTTTGCGTTTCTATTAGCAATTGCGTGGATAATGCAAATGGACTTAAAACTCCTTGCCAGTAAACACTGTATCTTTGCTTTATGTAGTCTCTATCGAAGAATTACGCCGTTCACCGTCGCACTCAGGGTATCATAAATTCTGTTGAAAATTATTGATTTCATGTACCCAGTAGATACCCAGAGTAGTCATCGGTACCGAGCAAAATTCGGCATGATTACTGTTTCACTTCCATCGATTCTCCAGACCCTCAGTGTCGGATTCTGTTGTCTCCTTTACCCTGGAATGTTTCCAGAAACCAGCGAATCCATGGTCCACTGCTCGATAGTGACTCCATATTCAAAGCGATCTGCTAAGTCCGTCGCTTCCGTAGTCCCATATTCAGTCCCATATTCCCAACGTGGTTGCGAATGGAGACCAAGCGGTACTGTCTGACTGGAGTGACTGCTATGCTAAAGCTGCTAAAAGCTCGCCAAGTGGGCTCATGAGGCTAGTAGTAGCTTCCTTCGCTGCGATGGTCACGAGACCACTTAAATTCTGCAGTACGGAGTAGTGATCCACCCTACACTTCCCGTCGGGATGGGCGGATAGGAAAAATTCTTATGGAGTATCCAGATAGTCTGTCTACAAACCAAAGCCGAGACATGATCAGCAAGCCGTTCTGGCGTCAAACCATGATCATCATGGGTTGTTCATCCATGTAGCCGCAGTAGTGATCTGTGACCAGGATTATGATCGACTATAGACCTTACGCATGAGACGATCGATGTCCGCCAGTCGAAGTTGGAATGATGAAACTTCAAACCCGACAGGTATCTTGTTGACGGGGAATTAGACACGTCCGGTGTCCGCTGTTACCCCGCCATGGACTCGTGAGCGGCGATAACTGGTAAGCCAGAAAAGCCCAGAGACAAGGCCCGGAGGTCGAACTGTATGAACCTGAAACGGAGATAGCCCGACGGATTGTCTTGTTTCGCGGTGGGTGCGACTTGTTCGAGGAACAACTGTGTCGGTCTTCGCTATCGAGAGCCCTATAGCTCCAATTTCCCCTTTCTCCATAGTTTGACATGGATAACTTGGTGACATTGATGAAGAGATTAAGAATTACCTTGTAGCATCATGATGCTTGGCCAAATTGTCGTCAGAACATCCGTTCAAGGAGATGCTGATTGAACAAGGGGAATCTAAACTCTAAATCGATGCGCTACGCATGTACCAGAGCGAACTGGCGATGGCTGCGGATGGCTGCCCAAGGGAAGCCAACAAGCTTATTTTCGGTGTTGTGGCTTGACTAGAACGAACGCAACAATAACAGGAGGTAGTAGTATGTTTCAAGATGACTACAAACCTCTTTTTGGAGACTCTACCAAACAATTGTCGTGTTGGCATCATGCGTATGGCAATCCCAAATCCTGCTGCGCAAGGCATTCATGCTGTGCTACCAACTAAGACACTTGCACATGAAGCTCAATGCCTCCGAAGCGCAAGCCTGTCAACAGAGGCAAGATTGAGTAATTGCTGCTCTGGGACGCATGCTGATTGGTTGACAAGAGATGCAGGGTTGCCGTTCCGTCATGCGACAGCAGGCCAGTCGATGCGACTCTTTGCACACTCTAGTCGATACTGCACGACACATGGTTGCAATCTAAGTGACCTTTTGGCTCCTGCCGCAAGTGATCCAGGCTATATGCTTGAATACTCCAGTTGCAGGCACTGGTCTCGAGGTAACGGCCCATGTCTCATTGTCGTAAGACACTGTGGTGGCACGATTCATGCAGGTTTCAGTATGTAGCAGATGACGTTGTTGCTTCCGATCTCCGTATTGACAGTAAAAGGAGCTGACAGAAAGGGGCAACCCCTCGCTACCTTGCATGTCACTCATGGCCACATTTCCACGGACCATGTCTCGCTGCCAACGAAACCACTGACAATATCGGACAAGCTTCAATCTTCGTCCAAGTCTCCCTGAGCCTGAGTGGAAATCCACTCTTCCATTAGCGCCTGACGTGAGGTATCAGAAGCGGCTGGCCGAGCTCTCGCCTTATCGCCCTTTTGCGTCACCAGCAGACATAGGACCCAACCGTAGATATTGAAACCTTCGTACTGTGTCCGAAATCCTAGCTTCTTGTCATCGCTGTCAGCACTAAGCTCCTCCAGAGGCGAATCAGTTTCTTTCTGGCGCTTTGATGTGCGTTCTCCACCTGGGCCCTGCACGTCCGTCCCTCGGCGGCGCTTGCCATTGGCGTCGCTTGTGTTCGCTTGCGGGATATCGCGCAGATCGGTGTCAGTTTCACTGTCGCTTTCAACCAAGATCTTGTCGCCGCCTCCTTCCGACCGAATCACAGGAATATCTGTGTCTCCGGCGCCCTCGAATGTCTTGTGTCGAGTCAAAAGTGAGTGGCGTGTGCGAGATTCGCGAAGGAATAAGGCGACCTCGAACTCATCTGCATCAGAGTCAATAATCACCGGATATCCACTATTTCCAAAATAGGAAGCCCATAGTACCTTCAGCTATCACATCTTTGACCGGCTTCCCTTTCTTCCTAGCGAATAACCTTTCATTTTCCTCTCGTAACTTTGGTAGCACCAACGGACGAATGGCGGCAAATATCCGGGGGAGCACAGGATCTCGACTATCAAGGAGCCACCGAGAATCTGACGGATTCTCGAGATAGATTCGACATTCCAGGACAGAGAATTTGCTGATTCGAAGGTAACGCCGAACAGGTGCCATGCTGATGTGGAAGGATTGACGTCACAGTCAGTTGACCAGCTGCATCTGTTCTCGCCGAAATTTGTCGTTACAAATCACCTTCAAGAGAAAGGTAGGCCGATTCTATCACAACGCTGCGTGTATCATACGATAAAGATGGCTGTCAGCGATGTGGCTGTCCGAAGAAGAGTCAGTCATGCAGCGGAGTCGAACTGGCACGTGACCCTAATGATTAATGAAATGGGCAGGCAGACTAAGCTTCGTCAATACGGAGTAGTAGTAGTTAGCTCCAATCATGTTTCTCATCAGAACATCCACCTCTTCGACCTGGCGTTTTGATAGCTTCAGAATTCCACATCTTCTGGATCTACGGAGACACTGGATCGTCGGCCCTAATATGTGCCATTATTCTTTGGGCAAGCCGTTGTGGCTTCCATATCATCCATCCTGAAATCGGCAGATTAAGAGTCCAGACATTCGAATCCATACGAGTATGCTCTTTGTGCAGCCAGTAGTCTCGGCCGTTTTCTCTGGATTTAGCCGATGGTTCGACAGACGCCAATTATCGGAACGGATGTACGGAGTACTATCAAGTCCATACAGACGTGTGATATACCACCACCGTAGTCACTATGATAACAAATTCAGCGTACTCTCCAGGCGACCCGTTCTCAATCACGTTCCGCATAGCTATCTCTCTCCTGGCTTCTCTGAGCAGAACCTTGCACGGAGAACTCCGTAAACCTATAAATAATAGCAGATATCGATTCCACCTCTTTCTTTAACAGCACACCGCCTACTTACATATATTGTCTCTTTCCAACAACTCTTCCTTAAATCGGATGAAACGACTTCTCTGATCATTCTACTCTTAGGTAGTATAGATATACGGAGTACTCCGTAGGTGGTCTCGATACCTTTATCATTTTGATTTCCTATTTCATCTGGCGAGGACCTCGAGTTGCCCTTGCATATCCCATGCGGAAGGTAATTGGACCGAGCTGGACTCGTTGCGGCCATAAGGTTGTCACGTGATAAAACCAGGCCTGAGGCTGCCAATCAGAAGCAGTGGAAATGAGGGGTGGCGTGCTCCCAAGGTCCTCACGCGCGGGCCGAAAACTCTTCGTCGTTGACATCTGTTCGCTGGTTCCCAAAAGGTTTGCGGAACCCGCTTTCTCCCAAGGTCCCCATCAAAAGACCACGCCCACTAATGAGATAGATGATTCAGAGTGATGTGGGAGATATACTGTCACCATGGTCCTCTTTCCAACCATCAATTCTCACCGTCTGTACTCTGTACACCTTCTCAACGAACCTATCCCCGTCTCACAGGGTTCTCGTCTGTCTTCGTGGTAAAATTTGGTAACCAAGGAGAGTCCATCATCGGATATCTCATCTGACATACGAACGATTCATTGGGGATCGCGGAATACCTGCTTGCCTGCTGGGTCTCTCGCCGTGCCACCAAGGTCCTCAATTGCGGATTCAAAATCCCTGCTACCGTGTTAACTGTGAGCGAATACACGACGGTCAAGCCTCTGACCTCGCTCTTATCACAGGCTTAGAAGTCTTAGCACTCAGTCTAAGTGAATACTGCAGGGACCTTGAGGGTCGTGATTAGAATTTTCCGACTCTGTTGCCAGCTTGATCCAAGGCGGTGCAATTATAAGAGTCGCGGCCAAGCCTTCAAGGAAGGACAAGATCGCTTGTCCTCTACTCATCCAAGCTTGTTTCCACGTGTTTCTTGCTTCGTGGAATCCTTTGTCCGACTTCTGCCTTCATTTGATTGGGCTTTGACCTGTGTCGATCCCTTGAGTGATCTGATCTGTGCATCTTTCTCTTCCATCCCACTCATTCATAGCTCAGAACTGGTCCGTGCTGTTGAAGTCGCTGGTCGGGCTGCAATACCTGTCTATACTCCCAGTGGCTCTGTCGATTCTAGGTCGCGCGGAAAACCATCATGCAAGGCCTTCACACTCTTCTGGTGCGCGACCCGGAGACGGGCGCCACACCTTCTTGTGATACCGGGAACGAGTATGACGGGCGCATGGGCTTGCGTATATCGTCCATCTTCGTGATTATGGTCGGCTCGATGTTGGGTGCTGTGTTTCCGGTCTTTGCACGGAACTTTGGCACCTCTAAGTTTCTCAGACGGGCCTTTTTCGTCGCGAAGTACTTTGGCTCGGGTGTCATTATTGCTACCGCCTTCATCCATCTTTTAGGACCGGCAGAAGAGGCATTGACTAATGAGTGTCTCACTGGTCCCATTACCGAATACTCATGGGTCGAAGGTATCATCCTCATGACCATTGTTGTGCTGTTCTTCGTTGAGTTGATGGTGATGCGGTACGCACGTTTCGGTCATGGCCACTTGGATGATTTGGGACACGACGATCATGCGCATCAATCTCTTGATGCTCCCCCAGCAACCGTCGAGTCCAAAAGCCACATGCCCGGAGAGGACCATCTCGGTCACTCCCGTGAGCATCGCGACACCGAGTTGGGTGGAAAGGCCTCCTTAATCGAGGAGTATTCCGCTCAGTTGACATCGGTTTTCATCCTGGAGTTCGGTATCATCTTCCATTCGATCTTCATTGGCCTGACCTTGGCGGTATCCGGAGAAGAATTTATCACGCTCTACATTGTCTTGGTCTTCCACCAAACCTTCGAAGGTCTGGGTCTGGGTTCCCGCCTGGCAACGATCCCTTGGCCCAGCTCAAAACGCTTTACTCCCTACCTACTCGGAATCGCATACGGCCTCTCTACGCCTCTCGCCATTGCTATCGGACTGGGGGTCCGTAACAGCTACCCTCCCGAAGGTTACACCACTCTTGTTGTCAACGGAGTTTTCGACTCAATTTCCGCCGGCATTCTCATCTACACTGCTCTTGTGGAGCTCATGGCGCACGAGTTTATGTTCAGTCCATCGATGCGCAAGGCACCGATCCGAACCGTCCTTGCTGCGTTTGGTCTGTTGTGTCTGGGTGCGTTGCTGATGGCGTTGCTTGGAAAATGGGCTTAATCTCGCTCTGGCTACATGACTGTCAACAACATTAGCTCCGTGTATATGTATATAGATCATATCCAAATAATCTAATTTGCTTCAGTTCACCTACTTGGCCGCATTCTCGTAACAAAGTAGCAGTTTCCATTATATGGTCAACATGTCAGACTGTAGAAGAAGCAACAAAACCCACAATCATCAAACATGCTGGATGGTGATACGTTTGGTCGACGGACTCCGCATACTAAGCAAACTCCGGCAGATCGCCATCTAACCACGTTACCTCGACTGGAGCACATCGCTCTCAACAACAGCCGCCCCAACCACAGCAACGCTCGAATTCATCTACACCCCGGTACCTTCTTCAGTAAATTCCAATTCCTTCATTCGCATCATCTATAATAGTCAAAATGCGCATTCCACTTCTCTCCGCCCTTTTCCTCTCCCTCACCACCCTCGCCCTCTCCGCCGACCTCGGCATCAAGAAGACCCATGTCGTCGAATGCAACCGTAAGACCACAAAGGGCGATACAGTCCACATGCACTACCGGGGCACCCTCGCGGCGGATGGTTCCGAGTTCGACTCGAGCTATGGTCGCAACCAGCCGTTGAAGTTCAAGCTTGGTGCGGGGCGGGTCATTAAGGGGTGAGTGTTGTTACGTCTCGTTTCCGGGAACTTTGTTTCAGGGAGTAGTGGCTGACTCATGGATTTATTCTATTCTCTAGGTGGGATGAAGGGCTTTTGGATATGTGCGTGGGAGAGAAGCGGACACTGACGATCCCGCCTGAGTATGGGTATGGCGAGCGCGGGATTGGGCCCATTCCTGGCGGCGCGACGTTGATTTTTGAGACGGAGTTGGTGCAGATTGAAGGTGTTGATAATGATGAGCTGTAGGTTGTTGGATGGAAGGCTATAAAGAGATGGCAGTGTTTCCCCAGCCTCGCGGGAATGCTGCAGGTTGTCTTATAGGTTGATGGTCCCCATGCGGACTTCTCTATGGGTATCTATCTAGCTGAGCAAATAAAACATGATTTACATCGCCCCAAGTCTATACATGTACCTTACTCCGCCAAATACCAATTATAAAATCAGTCCATCGCATCGAGACTGCTCTCGTTGGCTTTCGCTTCGTTCTCCGATACGAGAATTCCTACTAGGCACTCCCCCAGGATCGCATCCCAGTTCACCCACGGGTGGATCTCCATGAACAGTTTCCCAGAGTCTTTGCCTGCACCCCGAAGCAGCTCTCCCTTGCCCCCGGGATGGAAAGGGAGGTACGGAGTGATATTGTAGACCTTGCCCTGGTAGGAAGTCCACGCATCGCTGCCCTTGCGTCCATTTTGCGCCTTCAGCATTGACGGTGACACTCTGATGAGAGTCGGGGGTAGGTTTGCACCCCGCAGATTATTGTTCGGCTTCGCTGTGAGCGCGGCCCAATCGAGCGGCGAGTATCCTGGTTCCAAAATCGCCTTCTTCGCTGTAGTCGACGGTTTCAGCGTGACTTGTGTAGGCGCAAGCGAGTTGTTGCTTGCGGCGCGGCTGCCCGGTGGCACGCGCAGAGAGGCAGCAGCAGATGGTGGCGGACGAAGTGCGCTGGCCCCACTGAGATGTGGCAGGTACCGTCCGGGACTTAGCGATGAGGTTGGCTGAGGCTGCTGGTTCTGTAGCGTCGACGGTCGTAGACGTGGAGGGGGAGGGGGAGGCATCAAGGAGGAGGTGCTGGATCCGGTCTGGCGCGGAGGCACCGCGGGAATCGTTTTCATTTCGCTTGAAGTGATAGATTCAGAATCCAGTGGCGATTTGGCAGAGCCATCGCGTGTTTGCTGCTCATTGTTTCGCTTACTCGGACCCGCTGCCTCGTCAGTCTGGTCGCTGCCAAGATGGAGTGTCGGGACATCAAGAGTCGGTGCCTTCGTCGCTGACGCTTTTGGTGTCGTTTGGGGATCCTCCGCATCTTCATTCTCTTTTTCCGGTGTCTTCAATTCATTCCTCTGTAAATTATTATTTTCCGAAGGA